GATTCTTCAAGTGAAATATGAAGATTCTAGCTCTAATAATTTCACAGATATACGAATTTTTCTATTTAATTCATATGGGGGCTTTGAGTCCCCCCAGATGAAAGTCCGCTTTTTTTCTTCCAAAATATGAATATTTAAGTTCATCGTGCAAAATTTGAAGAATTTAGTTTCATTAGTTTCCCAGATAAACGAATTTTTGTATTTAATTAATATGGGAGGTGCCAAGTCCCCCATTGAAAGTCCGTCAATTTATTACCCAAAATGTTTAAATGGATGTTAAAGTTATTCGTGCAAAATTTGAAGATTCTAACTGTAATAGTTTCCAAGATAAACGAATTTTTGTATTTAAATTATATGGGAGGTGCCACGCCCCCTAATGCTATTCCGCCTACTTTTTGTCCTAAATAATCTTATTGACACTAAAGTTACTCCAACAAAATTTTAGGGCTCTAACTGTTATATGCTCTCAAATATATGGATTTAATATTTTCTTAATATGGGCGTGGCTCTTCGCCCACATGGAATTTCAAAATAAAAAGTAGCCTATTACCTTCGCATTCTACGCGGCTGTCAAAAAAGTAGAATAAATGTTGTTGCGTGCTACAAGTTACAAGCACAAAAGCATTGGATGCATTGACGCTTAAAATGATAGGAAATGGTAGATGTAGATCTATTTTCTACTTTTGTAAGCGTCATAAGCGGCGCACGAATATGTCAACTGATTTTGACAATTTTATATTCTATTTTTCATGTGTATGATTTAATCTTATATACCCAACATCAAACCCCCATAAATATCATTGTTATCCCATATTTTAATTTCTAAACGTATTTTTTAAATTTCAATGTTATTAATAAATATTCTCTAAGGGTTTTCATTTAAACGCTTAAGTTTCCCATTTGTGCAAGTGGGCAAGTTTATTCGATTTGTTTCATGAAACCCCTGTTCAAATTCTGTTCAACTACAATATTTATAAACATTTTAAAACAATGTCAAACGACATCAAAAAATAAAAAATAAATTATTTTAACAAAAAATTGTACAAAATATGTTTAAAATGTGAATAATCAAGTCCATAAACTCAAAAGTAAACAATTGTGAACGGATTTATGAAATGCACAATGAGTTTGCTCAAGTTTGCCAGTCTAAATAGTCGCTCAAACTTATAAGGGTTGTGCAAATCAATTTTCATACAATTCAGTTGCGAGAAGGGAAACATGCACAGGTTGCACAGTTTACGAGGGTTTTGAACGTTTAAATCCTTTCTATATTTTTGATCATAAAATTAAACACACAGCGTCCTGATTAAATGATAATCTATAAAGCTGGAGGTCCACACTACACGTTTTCGCGTTAAAGTATTGTGTACTTTTCATACCTTCTTCGCTTTCTACGTTTCAAGTTACATAGGACGATTTTGAAGCGTGAATATTTATTTTGCAAGAAATTGGCGTTTTTCTGCAACTTTTATTTAATTTTTCACAGTTCACAGTGATACTAGTGTTTATAAGTGAATTTTGACCTTTAAATCATTTTCAGAAAAGGACTTTAAGTGGGGGCTGGGATAAAAAAAAGCCCATTCACTTCGAAAATTGTCAGTATCTTATATAAAACTAAGTTTTGTAGATATACTAGAACATTTTGCATAATTATGACCTCAAAAGCCCTACGGTTGTATGGATACTAAGCGAAATAATGGACCAAATTCAACCATTTTTAAAATTTTATTAATTATCTTGAAAATTGCGATCTGTAACGTGCGCACAAGGTTTATATAGATACATAGACTGACATAGCTTAATTGACTTAGATAATGATTCTGAGCCGATAATAAAAACACTCATAATTTATTAACAAATAACCGTATTGGGACAAAACTAAACAGGAATGTGTTTTGCATACTAATGCAAATTATTAAGATAAATTTCCGGATCTGCCTATAATTGGTCATAGCTCCAATACAAGGTCCACTTCCGAAAATTACTTAAGCGTATATAACTCATTACTTAATAACGACATAAGAATAAAATTCGACACAAATATATTATGCATATATACAAATCATTATGAGATTTTTTTTGGATCAGGCTATAATTGATCGTTGCTCCCATATAAGGTCCACCTCCGAATAATAACTTTATTACGTGGGCCATATTTTATCTTTAACAAGTTAGAGGGCTATATTCGGCTGAGCCGAATCTTAAATACCCTCCACCAGCTACTTTTATATTAATACTTTTTTAATTGATAAAATATTTGTAGAAATAAGTTTTCTCATGTCTTAAATAGAAAACCCCCAAGATTTAAACAGCTTAAATCTGTTACAATTCCAAAATTTATTGAACATTACATTTTCTTTTATATTTTTATAGCGCATATTTTAGCTTTAAGGATATTTAACCCTTTCAGGGTCAAAAATAATTTATGTCTAGAAAAAAACTTGAAAACTTATATTTAATATAATTTGAGTATGCTGAATCCGGGAAAAATAATATTTTTTGAATTTGAGTTTTCCCTAGTGAGTTAGAAGGTCAAAGTTAAATGTCAAATATATTCGACATTCGAAAAACAGCCTCCAAAAAGTACCACCAATATTTTTTAATTTTTTTTTTTGTAAAATGTCTTCTTAAACTTCTTTCAATACAATACAATTTTAATCTGCATAGTCCGATCTCCTAAAATACAAATTTTTTGGCCATTAAATGAAGCTGTTTTTTAAACGTTGTAAAAAAGCACTTTTTAAAAAGTAGTCATAAGTGACAATTTCTTAAAATCTGATTTTTAAATACTTTTAAAATACGGAAGATCTTTCAAAATCTCAATTATAAATATAATAAAGTCTTCATTTTCATATAAAAGAAAAAAATTAAAACTAAAGTTAAATATTATACCCAAAAAATGCTTAAAAACAGAGTTTATTGTAATGTCGAATATATTCGACAAAACCACGGAAAGGGTTAATAATGTGCATGTATGCATGTGTGTGAAAGATTTAAAGATTTTCAAAATACATATATATAATTTTGTTCTACGCAAATTGATAATGCAACTAGTTAAATACGGTTAAAGTGCTTTTAGGGGCAGGACCTAGTATGGGAGATATGACCAATTAAAGACCGATCATAAAAAATTCTTTAAGCAAAATTTCTGTACATAAAAGCTATATATCAGTAAAATTTTGTATCTATATCGTAATTTAGTAATAATTAATGTATGTTCAAGTGATTTTCTGAAGGGAACCTTGCCTTGGGCCGATCGTGAAAAAATCTTGAAATATAATTTTTGTATACCAAACTAATATTTGTGCCAAATTTTGTATCAATAGCTTTATTTGGTGATGAGTAATGGGCGTCTAAGAGATTTTCGTAAAAGGACCTTGTATGGGAACTATGACCAATTATGTATGTATATAAAGACAAAATTTCAAAATTCTGTATCTATATCATTATTTAGTAATGAATATTGTGCATTTAAGTGATTTTCTGGATGGGACCTAGTATGAGAGTTATGACCAAATATGGACCGATCGTAAATACTTTGTAATGAATTATGTGTGTTTAAGTGGTTTTCGGGAGGGAACCATGCATGGGAGCTATGACCAAGGATGGACCGATCGGAAAAAAATTTCACAGTAAAATTTCTGTGCATATGAGCAATACTTGTACCAAATTTTATATGGATATCTTAATTTAGTAATGAGTTATGCGCGTTTAAGTGATTTTCGGGAAGGGAATAAAATTTCATTGTAATATTTCTGTATGTGATCGCAATACTTGTACCAAATTTTATATGGATGTCTTAACTTAGTAATGAGTTATGTGCGTTTAAGTGATTTTCGGGAGGGGACCTTGTATGGGAGCTATGTCCAATTATGGACCCATCCAGAAATTTTTTTCTCTCAATGAATTCTATTCACATAAGATTTTAAGTTGTAAAATTTTGTGAAGATATCAGCATTCTGACGGAAGTTATTAACAAAAAACTCATTTTCCGGGAATATGTACTTTTGTATGGGAGGTATATAAAATTATGGACCGATCCTGGCAATTTTCAGTAGGAATCAAGATCTTGTGTAGAAACGAATGTAAGATGACTTTCATGAAATTATCTTACATATTTTTCGAGAAAATTACATCAGAATGAATAAAAAATGCTTATTTTTTCGGAGTTGTTTTAAATTTTGATTCATAACTTTTCCCGATGTGAACCGATTTTGCTCATTTTCAATAACAAACTGTACCGGATAATAATGAATATTTTTGCTGAATTTCGTTAATTTCCATTGATTCGATTTAACGTGAGCGTGTTTTACACAGACAGACAGACGGACGGACAGACGGACATAGCTAAATCGACTCAGAATTTCATAATGACCCAGAATATATAAACTTTGTTGGGTCTCAGATGAATATTTCTTGGTGTTACACACGGAATGACAAACTTATATATACCCTCTATCACCACTGATGGTGGTGGAGGGTATAAAAATATATAAAATGTAAATTTCTGTAAATATTCGACATCTTTATAAAATTTACTTGTAGGTGAAAGCTATTTGAGATTCGTCATAGCCGAGTATGCACTCTGACTTGTTATGTTTTTATTCCATTTTAGCCTATTTTCAAATTTTTTGCAGGTTTTATCTAGAATTTTTCACTGAAATTTGACACAGCGATAGTATTCAATAGCTATGTCTTACCATATAAGTTCGTATGTGACAATAGAAGAAAAATGTTTATAATCCTAGATTTTATGATGTCATGTTTTTTCCTATTATTCACTTTAGTTGCAAAATAACGGTATCGGAAGTTTAGGAGTAAGAGTATTTTAGATAATTTCGTGTACGGTATTTCAGCGGTTGCGTCAATTTCGGATATCGGATATCATATACAATATGTATGTATGTACGTAAAATGTACATCGTACATTCAAATCTTTTTTATACTTTTGTATTTTATAAATACGGTTATGCAACATACACACATATAAAATAAATTACCTTTAGTTAAAAAGTTTTCATTTGTAGATACTGAGTCGGAATCATCTTCGTGTTTATTTGACCATTTTGGTTCACTAGATATTTTATGCGCTTGTAGTTTTGAAACAATGTTTGTTTTACGATTTCTACCGAAATCCATCTTTTCGCTCTCTAAATCCGAAGTGTTGCCTAAATAAGACATGTTTACCAGCGTTTTATATTCTATGACGAGCAGATGTTTACTAAACTGAATCAAATAAATTAAAGACCTTTTATATAACGTTGTTATATTGTGTTTTTACAGTTTATAAACACATACATGCGAACATAAATAATTACGTGGGTGTTTTATATTGAATTCAATGTTCATTGAACATCCACATCACACACCCTGATAATGAATGACGTAACATTACAAGGTCAAAAGTTTCAATAATACTATTTTCATTTAAGAATGTTAATACGTTCTAAAATTTTCAAAGTTAAGAAAAATCACTTTCTTAATGTAATTTATACGGATTATATTAAATTCGAAGAAAATTTGTGCGATTCAAAATTAAAAAAAAAAAAATACTCTGACCATGAGTTGGATTATACATTTGTATATTTTCCTCTTACCGAAACCACTTTTTCGATATTTTTATAATAACTAATTTAAAAATAATTATAACATTATGAATATTTTAAGGGTAATTTTGGCGTTTTTCCGCATATACGCAATTTTTGGAAACGCGCTTTTTGACGAATTATGGACCGATTTTGAACATGACCCTCTCAAATTTCGATGAAATTCGGACCTTCTATGAGTCATTCCCCCATAGAAGGTTCCCTTCAGAAAATTACTCTAACGTTCATTACTAGCTTATAAATACGACTACAGCGACGATATTCCACATACTTAAGTTTTACAGGAACCTAAATTTCTGCTTAGAATCATTTTCTGATTTGATTATGCTATGTCCGTCCGCCCATGTAAACCTTGTAAACTACAGGTCGCATTTTTGAAGTTAATTCAATGAAATTTGGTACATGATCTTCAATCATCTCAGTGGCGAAGCCTATTGAAAATGGTTATGGTCGGTCCATTATTTCCCATACAACTGAACCCCCCAAAAGGGCTTGCAAACCTTGTAATCAAAGTACAGGTCGCAATTTAGAAGATAATTCAATGAAATCTTCTATTGTACCAGAGACGAATCCTATTGAAAATGGATAACATTGGTCCAATATTTGACCTAGTTCCCATACAACTGAACCCCCCGAGTAGAGCTTTTAAGTTCATAATTATGTTCAATATACTCGTATCTAGACAAAAAGCTGCAAAACCAAGTTCTATACTAGCATTCATGACCCTAAAGAATTTTTTGACCTTATTTGTACCCAATTTTATTCAACAACAAGTAAGAGTGTTTATATTCGGCCATGCCGAATCTTATATACCCACCATCAAATCATCCTTATAAATAAACTTTGATATTATCGATCTATGTTGAATCATATGTCGATATTATTATGAACATCAGGGAAATATTTGGAAGAGGGAATTTAATAAAGGCTTAAGCATGGACCGTGCTCTTCCGAATTAAAAATATTAATTTTGTTTGATCCAATATTTATAACCATAAACTCATACAAAACTTGTTTATGTGAAATTTCATCGCTGTAGTCGCATTTGAGCGTTACAGCCAGTAACGAGCGTTACAGTCACTATCTGAGGGGGACCTTATATGGAGGGTGGGGTCAGTTATAGACCGATCCCCATAAAATGTGATAAATAGTTTTTGGCTAGTACAAAACTTGTTTACGTAGAATTTCACTGCTGTAATAGCATTTTTGAGTCAGTAGTGAGCGTTAAAGTAATTTTCCGAAGGGGACCTTATAGGGGGGTATGGTCAATTACAGACTGATCCTCATAAAATTTAGTGAGAGATTGTAGCTAATACGAAAATTGTTCATGTCGTACTCAGTACTCGCAGTTTTAAGCTAGTAATGAGCTTTAAAGTTATTTTCTGAAGGGGACCTTACAAGGGGGCTAATTAAGGACCGATCCTTATAAAATTTGATAAAGAACTTTTGGCTCACACAAAACTAGTTTGTACCTTAAAGTTATTTTCTGAAGGAGACCTTAATACGAAAATTGTTCATGTCGTACTCAGTACTCGCAGTTTTAAGCTAGTAATGAGCTTTAAAGTTATTTTCTCATAAAATTTAAGAACATGATTTTAGTTCCTATAAAAATTTTTTATGTCGAATTTTATTGCTATATATATGCACATATGTTTCTTAAAGTCAGATATGAGCATTAAAGTCATTTTCTGAAGGGGCCCTTGTATTGGGGGTAGGGTCAATTATGAACCGATCCTTATAAAATTTTACGAAGAGATTTAAATTCTTATAAAACATGTTTGTGCCGAATTTCACAGCTATTGATGCTTCTCTTAGCCAGTTATGGGCGATAAAGTCATTTTCTGAAGGGGACTTTATATGGGGGTAGGGTCAATTATGGGCCTATCCTTATAAAATTTTACAAAGAGATTTATGTTCCCATAGAACATATTTGTGTTGAATTTCACCGCTATTGATGCTACTCTTATCCATTTATCTTATGGGCGATAAAGTCATTTCTGAAGGGGACTTTATATGGGGGGTAGGGTCAATTATGGGCCTATCCTTATAAAATTCCACGGAAAGATTTATGTTCCTATAGAACATGTTTGTGCCGAATTTCACCACTATTGATGCTTCTCTTAGCCAGTTATGGGCGATAAAGTCATTTTCTGAAGGGGACTTTATATGGGGGGTAGGGTCAATTATGAGCCTATCCTTATAAAATTTTAAAAAGAGATTTATGTTCCCATGAAACATTTTGTGCCGAATTTCACCGCTATTGGTTCTTCCCTTAGCAAGTTATGAGCGATAAAGTCATTTTTGAAGGGGACTTTATATGGGGGGTAGGGTCAATTATGGACCGATACTTATAAAATTTTACAGAGAGATTTAGGTTCCCATAAAACATGTTTGTGCCGAATTTTACCGCTATTGATGCTTCTCTTAGCCAGTTATGGGCGATAAAGTCATTTTCTGAAGGGGACTTTATATGGGGGGTAGGGTCAATTATGAGCCTATCCTTATAAAATTTTAAAAAAAGATTTAGGTTCCCATAAAACATGTTTGTGCCGAATTTCACCGCTATTGGTTCTTCCCTTAGCAAGTTGTGAGCGATAAAGTAATTTTCTGAAGGGGACTTTGTATGGGGGGTAGGGTCAATTATAGACCGATCCTTATAAAATTTTACAGAGAGATTTAGGTTTCCATAAAACATGTTTGTGCCGAATTTCACCGCTATTGATGCTTTTCTTAGGCAGTTATGGGCGATAAAGTCATTTTCTGAAGGGGACTTTATATGGGGGGTAGGGTCAATTATGGACCGATCCTTATAAAATTCTACGAAGAGATTAAGGTTCCCATAAAACATATTTGTGCCAAATTTCACCGCTATTGGTTCTTCCCTTAGCAAGTTATGAGCGATAAAGTCATTTTCTGATGGGGGCCTTATATGGGGGCTAGGCGAAATTGTGGACCGATATTGCCCATTTTCAATACCAAACAAACTGCATCAACTAGAAGTATCTGTGCAAAATTTCAGCTCGCTAGCTGCTTTCATTTGGACTCTATCGTGTTTTCAACAGACAGACAGACAGACGGACAGACGGACAGACGGACATGGCTAGATCGTCTTAGAATCTTATAAGGACTCAGAATATATATACTTTTATGGGTCTTAGATGAATATTTCAATGTGTTACAAACGGAATGACAAAAACAATATACCCCCCATCTTTTTTGATGGTGGGTATAAAAAATGGCTAAAGTATATCTGAGACAAGGTACAATTCAACTTAAATGCTTTATTATGAACACTAAATGACATTTTTTTATAACTGGTGTAGGGTATTATATGTCGGCCTCGTCCGACTATAACTTCTTAATTGTTTAGTTTTATTTTTATTCCAAATAAAGTGCACAAATTACAAACATGCACTACATTTTCTCGCCAGTGTAGGATCACCTTCCGAAATTAACTTTATTTACAACACATGCTTTGATGGTGGGTACTTGTTTTGTATCTTATTATGTCCTGAAGTAGGAATTACAAACATTTAAAAATTTTAAACAAACCCATAAAATATTTGTGAAATGTTCTATTAATACTAGATTCGAGTTATTTCACTTCAAATTTTGAATTAAAGTTTATTAACAAGTCTTAACTGGTTGGATACCATTTATTTTTATACCCACCTTTAAAAAAGATGGTGGGTACGAATATAGTGTATGAATTTCGATATAAATAAATTTCATATAAGCCAAAATCTCTCTATAAAATTTTATGAGGATCAGTCCATAATCGACCCTACTCCCGATATAAGGTCTCCTTCAGCAAATTATTTGAACGCTAATTACTGGCTTAAAAATACGAATACAGCGATGAAATTCATCATTTTCAAGATAAATATAAACCAAAATTAAAATTTTGTCAGAGCCACTTTAGTGTCAATATAAGTATTTAGAACAAAAAGTAGGCGGACTAGCATTAAGAGGCGTGGCACCTCCACTTTAGTGTCAATATGAGTATTTAGAACAAAAAGTAGGTGGACTAGCATTAGGGAGCGTGGCACCTCCCATATAAATTAAATGAAAAAAAATTCGTTTATCTTGGAAATTATTACAGTTAGAATTTTAAAATTTTGCACGTATAAATTTAACATCCATTTAAACATTTTGGGTAATAAATTGGCGGACTAGCCATAATATTAAATACAAAATACATATTAATTAAATACAAAATTTCTTTGGGAAATTAACTAGAACGAAGAACTTAAATATTCATCTGAACATTTTGGGGGAAAAAGAGCGGACGGAAGAACTTTGACATTCATGTGAACATTTAGAGAAAAATAGGTGGACTTTCAATGGGGGATTGGTACCTCCCATATGAATTAAATACAAAATTTCGTATATCTGGGAAACTAATAGAACTATATTCTTAAAATTTTGCACGAAAAACTTTAATATTCATCTGAACATTTTTGAGGAAAAAGAGCGGACTTTTATCTGGGGAGCTTGAAGCCCCCACATGAATCAAATAGAAAAATTCGTATATCTGAGAAACTATTAGAGCTAGAATATTCAAATTTTACATGGAGAACTTTGACATTCATGTGAACATTTAGAGAATAACGGGCG